GGCCAGTCCGCCAGGGCCCCCCCGCCAGAGCTGTGCGGGAAGGGGGGGGGGGGAGGAGGGCCCAATGATCAGCCTTTGAAAATGGTGATTGGCCCTGTGATCTCCCCACAAAATTGCCTGGCTTCCTCCTTGACTTGGGTAGACTCTTAAGTATAAAAACAGTGGTTTTCAACCTGAAGTCCACGGACCCCTGGGGGTCCACAGACTATGTCTAAGAGGTGTGTGAAAGAGGACTATAATCAATCAAAAGTATGTGAATGCCCACACTTACAATTCAAAGGGGTCCACACCTCCACTTGAAATTTTTTAGGGGTCTGCAACTGAAAAAAAGATTGAAAACCACTGGTAGAGAGAGATCCAAGCAAGTTGTGAACAAACTGAGAAGCAGGGCAAATGAACCCACATAAAGCTCAATGCTAACATAGTTGAACTGCTTCTAATACCCAATTTAACATGTTTAGAGCCAACTCATCTTTACTGTGGCCCACATTGTGCAGTGTGACTTGAGCTACACTGAGGTTCAACATCTAACAAATGGCTCAGGGCAGCATTTCCCAAGTCATCTGGGCCCTACTTGATGGTGCACATAGCTGAATGCTCCAATAACCTAGCTTCCTCTCCTCCATCACAAAGTCCTCCAAGCAGCAAAGTCCACATCAAAACTGTCTCAAACGTGGCAGATTTTCCAACCTGGCATGGGGAAAACATTAGTCTGGTTTAACCTATTAGACAGAATGATCTTCTCCAAAGTAAAGGTTTGGATCTGTACAGTGAGTTCCAGGATGTTGACATGCAGAGTTCTGGCTCTGCTCTGTTTCCCCAGAACTCAGTAATGAACTAGAACAGCATTTTTCACCCAATGGGTTGTAACCCCAGGAGGTTAATTGAGGGAGAGTAAGATCTTAAAAGTCTTACTGCAAAGAAAATCTCATTCACCACATACCCAGACCTTTTACAGTTGCATTACTCTCTGCTATCATCTGGAAACATACATACAAACCAATTATACTGGCTTATCATCAGTACACTTTATAACTAATTTTACATTAAATCTAAGAGGGAGGGGTCTTTTTCTTTTCTTTTCTTTTTTTTAACTTGGAAGGTGTTGCTAACTTGAATAGTTTGAGAAATGCAACCCTGCATTAAAGTACATGGGGCACAGGTCAGCTTGGCAGTATCACTTATGGCCATTTATCAGATTGTCCCTTTGGAGTTACCCATATCTTCCTGAAAAATAGTGCTCTGTACAAAGTCCAGTACTATTTAATGTCTTAATTAAATAGTTGGAG